CACCCCTCAAGTTGAAATGGACTCTCCCCACCTGTCACCCCTCAAGTCAAAATGGACTCGCCCCACCTGACACCCCTCAAATAGAATGGACTCGCCCCACCTGTCACCCCTCAAGTTTAAATGGACTTGTCCCACCTTTGAACACGCAAAATGGAGTGGGATCAACCCAACCAATACCCCCTAAAATAAAATGTTACTTCAGCAGATGCGATGCGGCATCTCCATCATTCGTTTCCAACCATAACTCAAAAACTCGAATTGTATTATTTATTCATGTAATAAAAAAATCTCAGAAAACCAAAGTGAACAAAAGCAAGAAAAATATATTAAAAATATTCTACTTGACAATCTTTTAAACATAAAATAATAGATACGTGCTTTAGTCATGGCCGTTACTTGACCATTAATTTTATTTTAAAGTTTGCATATATCATACATGTCCTTTATTGTTACAATGTAAATTCAACAAATTAGAATTCTCAGACGGTCAGATAAAGTGTTTACAAAATGTGTAAAATTACACAACACTGCTTTAAATACAGTGAAAAAATGAAAGAGAAATGAGACCTGATAATATAATGAAATGTTGTAGAACTGCCAATTTCTGAAAGTATTCCATTTCCATTTATCCCGGTTTTTGCTTTAAAACCATTATAGTGATAATAACATTTTATTGAAATATCACCTAATAAAGTATATACTTAGTCCAGCATTACAGAAAATTAAGATTTTGAAGAAATTGAACTGAATCGTCAGAGCTTGGTTTTGGGTAAATTAAAAAAATGGATTCATAGTTTCCTAAACATTGAACAAATCTAAATTTCGCCATGTAAAAGGCGTACTTAAGGTAGTGTTGAGATCTTTCCACATTCTCATTTTATATTGGAATTCGAAAGATAGCACTTCTATTTTTTTGCAGAAACCAATCTCTAAAATTGTGCCAAACAAGAACAAAGATGTAAGAAATAAAAAGGTTCTATTGAATCTTGAAAATCGTACAGGATAGACAGGCACAAGGAATATATATATATACACTTCGAAACTTCTCAAATTTGAAGGGAAATGATACATCTAAGAATTGGCAGTTCGAATTTTGCTTTTCCCGATCTCAATACTGAAACATATATTTTGTATTAATAACAACTTTTTAAGTTCCAATTTTGTTCCAATTTGACAGAGCAAAGAAATACATTAAGTGCTTATGGATTCCAATATTAGTTTTGCATCTTTTAAGTCCAAATTATATTTCCCTAAAACGCATTTTATTCAGGCAAAATTGTCTGTCGTTCACAAGTGTTACAGAACATTTACAAATGATAAACATAACAATTGATTTTATTATTGTAAAATATAACAGCAAATGATACGGGAGTTGACCCAACTCAAGAAACTTAATCGAGTTTCAATTGTTGGTATGGTGAAAATGCTTTTTTACCTTTAAATTTGAAAGCTGTGATAAGCAAACACTATGATAAGTACACTACAGCCTGGTATAAAAATCTAAGGGGAGAAATGTTTGGGTTTTAACAGAATCAGATACATTCAAACTCCATAAATCCCATAAATCTGAAGGTATAATTTGAAACGGAAAAGTTTGATTTGTAGGGAAAAGGGACATAAGCGACCTTACTACAGCATTTCAATATGTAAAATATTTAATATATAGGCCTAAAACGTTTTGAAAATCACAGTCAAAGCTTTACACAGATATTTTTACCATATAACGTGTGTGTGTGTGCGTGTGCGTGTGTGTGTGTGTGTGTGAGCGTGGCTGTGGCCATAATTCGGCTGAAGACTAGGCAAGCTTCTATCAGTCGCATGTGCATCTTGCAGTATCTCAGCAAAGAAGATGGCAGTTCTGAAATATGAAAATAACGTTAATGACATAATTCGATATACCAATGCAATGATTCAAGATTCAAAACTCTTCACCATTTCAAAACAAATAACAATGAAAGTTTACACAAATTCTTATGACACTAGGAAAGGGATGACAAGTAAAATTACGATCATAGTTATCGGATATCGTTTTCAAAGGAAGTGTTCAGACGAATAGAGCAATTCCACCGGGGGATAGACTACGCTAACCAATAATGCAAAATTTTAAAAAAGTTCAGAAGGCAAATGATCTAATGCATATTTCCGTTTTCTCACGAACAGCAAATATTATTTGATGAATGATACAACAGTATGTTTTATGTATGTAAAACTGTTTCATTTTATATTACTAAACGGAAAGTATCCTATGAATCCAATTTCTTTTTTAGTGTCATCATGAAAATCTATCAAATTCTCCCTCGCCTATCTGCTTCATTTGAAAACAAGAAAACGTTTTTTTTCTAAGAAGGAAATATCTGCCTTACAGACTAATTACTAATTTTGGTAGCTGAGAAGATCCACACTGACATATCACAGCCAAATACTAAAGAAGTGATTTCAAATTACCAATTTGTTCAGGTGGCACGTTTACGTACACAGAGGTAGGGCCTATCTGAGTGGCAGTATCTGGGAACCAAAAAGTGAAATCTAAAATTCTACGCACATTTTCAAAATCCAGTGAACCACCCGGACAAACTGATAGTTTACTACGCGTGGAAATATAAGAATATCATTCCCTTTGAAATGTGAACTCTCAAAAAGCATGGAAACATCATGTAAGAAAAGCCTTTGATGCAAAGAACATCTCAACCATAAAAGACAGAATCTATTCAATATAAGTGCGAATCCTAACAAGCTTCTGACAAGCTACACTCTTAAATCTCAAATCGCAAAAGCGGAGAGGCATCTCCTTTGTTCTAACGATACCGTAGCTGTACCTACCACGACATCGAGTTTTGTACATCAGACGTACCTTCTTTTTTATTTTTATGCGCTTTTGGTCGTTGGACGTAGGATCCATGTAACTCACAAGACATTTGCTTCAACGGTGAATGAAATAGTCGGCCTTGCCACTTCACCACACCTATCCCGCGTCCTCTTCTTACAGAGTCCAGCTGTCAAGTGACTATCCTGGAAGACTGCTCGCACTGCACTGAGCGGCCCATTGTTATGTTAATTACAGCAGGTATGGCAATTTGGTTGAGAAGTTCCTGTTGAAACCATTCTCACAAGAGAGGTGAATCTGTATGATCTCATGAAAAATTGATAACATTTTTTTTTAATCCTGAGCTGTTTTAACACTGACACAGGTTTTTTTTTATCAATCCTTCGTCTTAAAATCCCTCTTTTCAGAATGCACCAAGACCTAATATCCTATGCTCACCGTCAGAAGCTGATTGGTTTAGACAGATACAGTTCACTCACCTGTCTATTGTCATGTTAATGCAAAGGTGTAGCCCATTCTGAGTAAGGGAACAAACAGTAACTGTCATCAAAGAATATTTGGATAATTGGAAAACTCCTATTGTTAAGTCCTCTATATACAGGCATACATTTTCAGAGACAATCTATGCACGATACAGGATATTCACAATGTTAGAGGAATTTTTCTTTATTTCACCATATTGCATATTGATATATAGTAATCGACTAGAGGGATACATGTCACTTTTAAAGTTGTATTTTGATTTAACACTCATGTTAACCTAATACAGGTACACTGTACATTTCACATTTCCATTTAAGAGAAATGTTCAACCATTTTCAAATGATTTTCTTTTTCATCGAATTCAACTTAAATAAATTTCAAATACAAATCTCTAACTTTTACGTTGCAACACATATTCGGGGCAGCTTTTGGTATCACTGACAACTGTCAAGCGGTCCAAATCAAAGTTCGGCCTTTCTTACAACAGATTGGACATTAAGGGAAGTTGGGTTAGGTTAGTATTATTTTATGCTTATTGTTTGCTTCATTCTAGTTTAGATATTCAGTATAAGCCACGATGTTTTTCTAATACTGCAACACACATTCGGGGCCTCACTGACTTTATATCCAATCTTGCGGATTTCCAAAAGGTAATTTTTAACCAATCAAATCCAATCAGCAAATTAGAAGTTGAGACAAAGACACTGTTTGTCAGGTATGGTGTGAACAGATGTGGTGGACAGCGATAGCATGAAAAGACAATGATCAGGCTACTGAATTAATTTAAACTTAGCACGTTCAAGAAAATGCCAATAAAATAAAACCTTTAAAGACATTTTACACATGCATGCTATTGAAATCAAGCCATTTGAGAAACAGGGCAATATATTTAAACACCACTGTGTATATAAAAAAATAATTGCACACCAAATAAATCTTGATAGATGAGATTTATTAAAATAACATGCATCTGTAATGGAAGATCAAAGTTGGTCTTGTCATTAAAGACTCAGCAAAATTATCTTTTTATATTAACTGTCAATAAAAATATCATAGATGAAAAGTAAAGTCCGTAACTGCAATTTTAAAATCTAAATGTTTCTTTTTTACGAAATATTGTTAAAAATTATTGTGACATAGAATAAACAAATTATAATGCCAAAATGAAGTGTTCAGTTTTGATTTGGTTATTTGTTGCTTTATTAACTGTGAAAAAACCTTTAACTGATGGCACAAAAATATTACTCCAATTATGTGATCCTTTGTAAACAAAAATATTTTGGAACACCACCTGATTCAATGGAATCTAACAAAACGAAACACATAAAAAAATTACAGAAAAAGCTTTTATGAAATTGTTTGATATTTATCTACAATTACTCCCTCCCCCTAACATGGAAATGATTGCGAATTAAATATCAGATTTCTGACATGATAATAAGTAACAAAGCAACAAAAATATAACATTTAAGAATCTCAAGTTCGCATGGAAATTATCACAGATTTTGCAGCACTGAGCAAATATGTTGCAGAGGCCCCTCCATAATAGCTGACATCTCAGAATATCCCCTGCAACATCTGTCAAACTACTTGTATTACACAACACACACTCCATAATACATGGAAAGCTTTACATGAAGTTTTCACTGTGATAAGGATGGGACCTTTGTAGGTTCAACATTTTGAGAAGCAATACAACATTTCAAATATTCTTTTTATGTCTTCACACAATACAGGTTATGCAGATCAAGAAAATCTCATTCAATATTTCAAATTCAACTCATCTTCTGTAGGATGTGCTGACATGTTATTATTTTATAACCTGTTTATTTGATATATTATTTCAGCATCTTCTGTTGACCGTTTTCACATATTAGTTTATAACAATGGCACCAGCATATATCAAAATACTTGGTACAGGCGTTGATTTGGACAAAGCTCATGATTTTTTTCATGCAGAACACACCTGGCAAAAAACCAGACACAGTGTCTGTCCATGACAATACAGTACAGTAACATAAAGTTATGATTTTCCCTCCAGAAGCGCTTTTCTGGCCATCTCAGAGAAGCGAGGGTCTAACTTTGGCACAAAATCTGGGTAAAGTTTGGAAGCCTGGGTCCCATAGATGTCAAGTAGTTTTCTGTTTATCATAGCAAACCTGAAAAGCACAAAACAAAACAAAAAATTTGTTTTTAAATAAATATTAAAAAGGACGAAACTACCACTGATTAACACTTAATAATAACCACAATTAAAACAATTAATTAAATAAGAGGCAGATCCTTTTCCAATAAAATAAAAGTTCTGTCACACTGTCCCCCCTCCCCTCCTTTCCAGCAGCAGCACCACCACACAAACCTTACAGGACAGGGCTCACCATTTTGTATTAGAATTTCCTGCCTAAATCAAATGCTGTAGGCTCTAGTGCTTCATTGTGATGTGAATTTCAAACCACGTTTTAAAGAAGACGGCAGACTCGAAGTTGTTTTAAGAGGAAGTTGACTGGGAGAGCCACTTCAAAGAAAGTAAACTGAGAGTGCTATTTTCAAGAGAGCAGACTGAGAATGCTGTTTTAAAGAGAGTATACTGAGGGTGCTGTTTTAGAGTAGACTGGGAGTGCTATTTTAAGGAAGAGAGTAGACTGGGAGAGCCATTTGAAAGAGGAGTAGAAGTGCTGTTTACTTACTTTCCTCCTGTAATCTTTAATAGCCACCTCCAATATGCAGGCCTTATGCTGTGGGCTTCAAACACAGTCTGGAAGAATTTCACAACAGTCATCAAAACCTTCAGCATAAATCTAGGAATATTACCTCTTGGTATCAACAAATATAAAATATATGATTCCATATACTAACAGTGTAAAAACTTGTGAATTTTTTCAATAAAGATAAATTCGATTTACTAAGTTACTACATCAGGCACTTGTAGCATGAAATAATAGCTAAATATTTTATATGCGCATGGTATACAAAAATGACATTAATTGTTCATCTTTTCAGTGGATCATTTATTCAAAATCTTCACCAAGTTGGGCACTTACTGCATGAAACAATATTGAAGTGGATATACTGTACAGCAATATATCACCACATTTTATATGAGGGACCCAGCCCTTCTTTATACCTTTGAAATATAAAATCTGAAATAAAAATTATGGTTTACATTATAAACCTGACACAATTTGGGAAAACGGTCAACATCAAGAGAGCAATAATCTATTATGGCAATTTTTTAACGGTCATTTTTGAATGATGAATAATTTGAAACAATGTAAAATGGAACAAAGCAACAAAAAACACTGATATACTATATCAACAACAGGTGAAAAGATGAACTCACATAAATTATGTAGTTTCAGGAAAAAGATCCAGCTACAATATTTCAGGTAAACCATAAGAACATAAAAAGTTAACAGTCATTTTGTTTTTCAATTTCACTTTACCTCTGTAATTTTGGTTGCTAAATAAAGAGCCACACTGGTACTCTTATAAAACAACATGGACCACGATGCCAGGAAACCTGCCACAGCTCCATGGATAGCATGGTCTGTGTCCCTCAGCCAGCGAAGTACACAGTTCACCATCTGTAGTGGGGGGAAAAAAGGTAATAACAAAGACTAAAGAACATAGAAAGTTCATTTACTCATTTACACCCACCTTCACATAAAAGACAGAAAATAAATGAAACAAATTTTTTTCTTCATAGATAAATGTATCAGAACCAATTTTCCCTTTTACTTGCAATTCAAAAACAAATCCATTTGTATTTCATTAGGCAGAAATTCAATTTACAAAATCATTGGCCCAACAAACACAATCACACCAGAAAACTAAACTGAATCAGTGAACATGACTGGAGATACACTGTATGAATACCACATAATTCACTGACTTGCTAAACATACCCTGAACACAGCAGTGAAGAGCCCTAGAAATGCCCCCAAGCTGAAGTTATTTCTGTGCTTCAGAGCCTGGAGAAGGCTGCTCGGTTGCTTGGTTAGTTTGGGAAGTGCAGTGAAGCAGCCGACTGCAGCTTGGACTATGTAACCCATAGTAAATGACCTGAGGAATCCCTGAAATTAAATAGAGCATGTTTTCAGACCATTCAAGGTCCACAACTGTCCTGAAAAATATAATTGGTCTCCCAGTTTATTTATGTCAGTCTGTCCAGCACATGTTTTGTAGCTAATCACAATTAAACAAGAAGGTGACACTTCTAAACAAGTCTGTTTAAAATTGTTTGATATGTTGGCATGTTGGGAAAGCAATGTCTGACAGGTAAAATATAAGTCTAAATGCTTATCGGCCATGCATGATTTCTAGCTAGTTTTATCTGGAGAGGTTTAGACTTAACACATGTTGTTTGTATAAAACGTGGAAACTGCGACAATACTTGAAGGCTGTTAAACATAGTTTTCAGGCGGGATAATAAATCACGAGCTGGCAGAAGGGTGGATGGTGAACCATAACAGAGCCTCAACTTGTTTGACACTTAAAAACTCTGTAAATGCATCTTAACGATGGAGGTCTCTAGAAGCCAGCAACCTCCGCCAATATTACCTCCATATAGATGTAATGAATTACACCAAAAAGCGTTAAGATTCTGAAACCAGATGACTAACCTAGCTTAAATATAACTCGTTGATTTAAATTGCTGAGGTGAGGTTGTCTCGCTGTCTGAGGACATGACTGTGAAGCCCCCCTAGTGCCTCAGACACCGATATCCCTGTAAAAATTTATTTTATCCGCCAGCACATTTTGAATCCAACAAGTGTAACTGAAAAAACCCGACTAGAGATAGGACAATTTTTCTATCCCTCATTCTACATACATGTAGTGTACATGAAAATAAAAGTTCATCTGTATACATACATACATGTATCATCAAGAGGCCCAAACTTTCAAATTCAATAACCAAATTATGGTCAAATTACCTTAAAACCCTTAATTAGTTTAGTAGCTACATTGCTATATAATACCCACCCCGTCATTTCCAACATAATTCATTATTCGCAGGCTTTATATAAAAAAAAAAGACTTCTAGGCAAGACTATCATCTGTTACAGTTTAACTGTGATAACAGCATTAAAATAAAACACACCATTGTTCTGGTGCCCAACTATGTTTAAACACAATAATTAAATTTTCATCAAATCTGTAAAAAAATAAAAAAGAAAAAAAAAAAAAAGCCAGAAATAAATTACTTTTAGCATTTAGGATAATATGCTAACACAAGTTTTAATACTATTTTTCCATTACCAGTGCCACCATTCTAAGTGCTAAGACAATTTTTGTAGACATATATGATATATGATTTAGACTTTCCCAAAGTGGAGAGCACATGGACGTTGATCATTCCCTATAGCTGCTCAAGGAGGCATTTCATTTATCTAATCTGACTGCATTAGTGACTATCCCCATTGAGCTGGATAGATCCATGTAGAACGCTACTTTCAATGTAAACGCGCTCTTAGAAGCTGTACAAATGCATCCTTTTTATCACTGTCCCCAGTACACTGATATCTTACCTCTATACAGTAAGAGTGGCATCCATGCAGGTGCTTGCATAGATGGTGTCTTGGTCCCTGTCTCCATTTCTGTACTAGCTGTAGCAGCCGCTGCCACATAGCCTCTGGAAGACGGAGGACATTGTGGTATACCTGAGATGATGTCGACTTGATTGTCCTGGCCTCAGACAGCAGATCTGGGGATTCCTCTCCACCCAACAGAAGCCTGCAATATCAAAGACACACTTGTCAGGATTGAGGAGGCTTGCTTTGATGTTCTG